CTCGTTTTGTTTTCGTGTCTTTTCTCTCCTGTTTTGAAATTGAAAATAGTAACCTGAATGATTTTGAAGTTCTGATTATTATTTAATTTCTGCCTAAGCTATATCGACTCTACAGAAATTATGTGCTAAAGGATAAATTTTGAGAGGCGACCATGTTGTAAAAAATACCACCTTCCCGGCTTATAAGAACTTTAAAGCTGTCCAACTCAGCTACCTGGCCTTCTCTTAACACTAAGATTACGTCGCAGTCTTTGACGGTGTTCAACCGATGAGCTATAGTGATGATAGTGGAGTTCTTCATTTTGTCGTGCACTGTACTCCAAATTGTTCTCTCAGTATTAGGATCTACATGTGCTGTCGGTTCATCTAAGATGACAATCTTACTCTGTTGTAGTAAGGTGCGAGCCAAGCAGATCAACTGCCGTTCACCGACACTGAGGTTTTCGCCTTTCTCTAAAAGTTCGAACTCAAGTTTCCCCTCGAGGTTTTCAACTAAACCATTTAATTTTACTTCTTGAAGAACGTTCCATAGCTCATCGTCTCTGTGCTCCTCCAGAGGATCCAGGTTTTTTCTAAGAGTTCCACAGAAGAGAACAGGCGATTGGCTGAGAACAGAAATACATCTTCTCGATTCCTGCAGCTGAATTCTGTTAATACACACATCGTCAATGAATATCTCCCCTTCAGCTTCAGGCATGCGTAAAAGAGCTGCCACAATAGACGACTTTCCATCTCCCGTTCGGCCTACGATACCAAGTTTAGTTTTTCCTTCAATTTCAAAGCTTAGATTTTTCAACACTTGTGGTCCACCTGGGTAATACCTCAAGACAACATTTCTGAAACTCACGTGACCGTCATGGGGCCAGTTGGTTGGTGGAAGCGTTTTGATATTGTATCCTGGCTCTGGTTCAATGTTTGTGTACGTCAAAACTCGCTCGACTGACGTCATTAGGTTCTCAACCTCTGAAAACTGTCGCACGGCATATTGGGAAATATTAGCAGTTTCAATGACGTAGGCAAGAGCGAGTCCAGCTAATGCTGTAAAAGAAACAAAATTCGTGTCGATTAAAAATCGATACAAATATGTTACCTGGTTTTTCCTACTTTCAAAAAACAAAGAATCAGAAAGACGGAAAGAGACAACTAAACCGAGAATGAGCGCTTTGTAGTGTGTTTTCAGTTTCCCTTCACATGTTTCCATCGGTAAGTTATGGTAGTAGTAGTACTACTAGTAGTAGTATTCTCAAATGAAAGAACATGGACCATTTCGGCGATACGGCGGCCATTTTGTGTTCTTTTGTTTCAACCTACCAGACAATAACCTACCTGACAATATAAGAGGAGCGTCCTCTCTTAGAATTTGTAAAAATTTACTGAACAATGTTAACCTGACTACCGAGGCCAATTGTTGCTGTGATCTTTGTATCGATTAGTTTACATATTTGAATTTTTATAGTCTAGTTTTAAAATTTTATAGTCTAGTTTTTCAATTTTAATTTTTATAGTCTAGTGTTTGTACTTTTACTGAATAGATAACATATTTATATTTTACATTTTAATTTTAGCATACACGTTCACATTTGTACGAGCCCCAGGCTCACTGGTGAAATGTGTCTAAATTGAGTACTTACTTTACTTACTTACTTACTTACTTACTTACTTACTTACTTACTTACTTACTTACTTACTTAATGGCTATTATGGAATGCTTAGGGGGCAAATACATTGCCGCCGAAAAGGTCCGTTGTTAACAAGAGGTTAAACTGAAAAACAGCTGATTCGCACCCAGTTGCTATTTATGTGGCTGGAAAAAATAAACGATCTAGCAAAAGAGAGTTTAAAGCTAGATCATGTAAGACGGTACGAAGAGTGTTCTGGGAAAGGACGCAATGAATTTCGTACCCTCCCAGAACACTCCTCTCGCAGACTGGGCACAAGTCAGGATAAAGAGTAAAGTTGTATGTAACCGGCGGTATATCTTACGATACCCGACTGCCCGAGATATCGCAAAACTATCACAAGTATTCACATCACCAATACCTACTGCTACTTCCCTCCCCCCGCATGGAGTGTTTGTCCATCGATAGTTACGACTACTGTACTTAGAATAGGAACAACGTAGGGATAAAATGTAATTTTCCTCATTCATTCCGACATGATGACCTCGACAGAGCTTGGGGTCGAACCTTTCGACCTGGAGTCCAATAGACTTCCCCTTTGACCTTCAGGTCTCAAATGTAGTGGGTACAATGGAATAAAAACGGATTCGAAGCTTGTACTTAACCTGAGTTTCGGCAGAATTTGGCTTAAAACTTTTGATTTTAATTTTTAGTGGGAGGAATTTTTCAGGATTTCATAAATTCATACCTGGATTCTCACAAACAAGAACGGCGACCAATGCAATTGAAGTGATAAACAATGAGCACAGAACATCAGCTCTGACTCCAAGCCAACGACTTGTTGCTGCTACCATCGAAAACGCCTGATTGTGTAGATCTTGATGCCTAAGAGTAAATCCATAAGTGCTAATGTAAATAGTTCTTTATGGTTGTAATAATTAACAAACAACAACTAATCCCTCCTTCATCTCTACCTCCTCTCCCTCTACAAAAAAAGGAAGAAGAAAGACTCAAAAGTCGCCCCTAAAATCTCCCACGTTGATCATGAATGCTGTCTTTGAATGTCCTATCAGGTTATTCATTACGAGGTCAAAAAATGAATTTAATTTCCCTTTTGGCGAAAGTCCCTACTTTATAGCCATTTTCCTTGCTCGTTTTGCAATTACTGCTGTTATAGTATGTCGATACTGGGCTTATGTAAGAATATAATAATATAAAAGTAAGCAGTACTGCATGAAAGTACTGCTCAATATTAATAGAGCTGTAATTTGTCCGCATACTTCTAAAAAGTAAGAACCATCCCGTGTGGCATCATAAACAGAAGGGCATGAAAGCGCTACTCAGAAGATTTGAAACAAAAAGAATTCACATTTTAGAGGTTCACAGTACTTGAAAACGTAGGCGTGAAATTAGGTTGACATCCCTTGCCTTTGAGCAATTTTCAATCAGTGTCGTAAAACCAGAACCAAAGTAATCACTTTAGCCAATCACAAAGGACACAGACAATACAGTGAACCAATCAAAACTCGAGGTAAATACGTGTAGCTGACGCAAAGCGCGGAAAAACGAGTGTGAACAAGTTGCGATTGGTTTTGGTTTAACTTCTGATTGGATGAAAAAGTGGTGCGAGTTTTTTAAGCCAATCATGTCGCACAGTAATGCAAAACTTACGGTTGCCTACTAAGCTTACCGGTATAACTGTTCTATGAAATCTCTTTCTCGTTTCCGTGTTCGAATGGTGTCCAGGCCAGCCATGGTCTCTGAAAAGTGAGAGAAAACAGGACTACGACAGATGGACTCTAATCTCTTCAATTCCCGCGAGGTCTTCAAGTAATAGTACGCCACATAAAGAAAGATAATGAATACGGGCAGGGAAACGAGACACAGCCAGTAGTTGGTAAACGAGGGCAATAGTGCTGCTGTAAACACGAACAGAATCATCTGGATGGCCAAGAGGAAGGTTTTGGGCAGAACCTCGTCAATGCAGCCGATGTCTTTGGAAAATCTGTTCAATATTCGCCCTGCGGGGTTTGTGTCAAAAAATAGTAATGGAGCTCGTAAGGCACAGGTTATCATTTTGTCATGGAGTTTTTCGGAAGATCTGAGGCAAACACGGAAGAAAACATAGCCGCGGATGATAGCAAAAACGAAGGCGGCTGACACGAGGCATGCGTAAATGCTCAAGGTTGAAGTGTGCTGTTGGTATTTCAAGGTCTTCTTGGATAAATGAGAGAGCCATACGTCAGGGGACACCATGACAACTGCAAAAGAATGCAAAAAAAAAAAACAACAACAACAAAACAAACTGAATTATGGCGCACTGTGTTATCTATCTCAGTTACGTTATGTCAGTCACGAGAACAAAATAGTAATAGTCACAGCAACTCGCACCGGTTCAACCTCGAACTCAGAGTCTTCGTTTCCCTTGATCAGCGGTCGAAAAATGAACGAGCTTGGAGAGTTCTGTTTGGAGGTCTGAAAATGATGGACTTCCGGTGGAATTGCATCCGTCTAACTAACATGTTGCTCAATCGAGACGTTGGTGTTTGACTTCCGCCCATTTCTATTGTTTTTAGAACCAATCAAAATCCAGCCTGTAAAAGTTGAATTCTCGAGAGTCGCTCGTTTCCTCAAGCCTACGCAGTAAGGAACGAAGAGTCCAGGAACTAGATTGGCACCAGCTAATGACAGCGTTTGGACTGTCCTACTGTGTAACTTAATCACAGCAACCGGATTTGGAACCACGCATCGTGCAAAGGGTCAATTGCCCGATAACGTTGACCTGCCGTCTTAGATTACAAGCGGCAGACGCGTCACACACATGCGCACCGACACCGCTTTGCAAATCTTCTCAAACAAAACATCCCATTCGCTGGTATTTTCTGGTAAAAATTACTTACCTTGCGTTCCTAGGAAAAGGAGAACCACGGAGATCATTAAGACGGGATGTAGGCCAGCTCTGAAGTAATCCCAATACAGCCGAAATGAAATACTACCAGTGGCCTTGTCTTCTTCAGAGATCTCCAGATCCTCATCATAAGTATCAATGACTGGTTTAGGATCAGAGTGATCTATCTCATTTTCATCTGTTGTCCTTCCACTCGACGTTTTTTTGTTGGAAGTTTCTGTGGAATCTTTGATGGAATCAAGAATCTTCAGTTCGTCATCTTGCAGTTCATTGAAGCTGCCTTTGGCTAGTAAGGACCCTTTGTGGAGAACCACAACTTGGTCTGCTGCTTTCATGTGCTTCTCTGCGTATGTCGCCAAGATTATAACCTTTTCTTTTAGCAGTTTGCAAACACATTGGTCAAATATGTGTTCACTGACTTTGGCATCTACAGCGCTTAGTGGATCGTCCAATAGATACACATCTGCATCTGCGTACACTGCGCGTGCCAGGTTTAGACGAGCCCGCTGACCTCCGCTCATGGCAACACCGTGTTCTCCAACAAATGAGAGATCACCATTTGAAAATCTGTTAACGTCTTCGTTCAGCGCGCATGCCTCAATAACGTCAGCGTATTTCTTCTCATCGTACGGCTCACCAAATAACACGTTTTCTCTCAGAGTACCAGAGAAAACCCAAGCCGTTTGGGAAACGTAAGCTATTGTTCCAGAGCAGACTATGTTACCGCTCGACTGGATTACTTCACCTGCGATCGCCGCCAGAAGTGTCGACTTTCCACTGCCAACCTGACCAGTGATGACTGTAAGACTGCTTTTAGATGCCTCAAAACTGACTTCTTGAAGCAAATACTTTTCACCCGATTCATAGAGTTTGCAAGAGAGACTTGAAACTGATAAGTTAACATTGTGCTTCTCTGGAAGAACATCCAGTTGCTCAACGTCTTCGCGCCTTGATGTTGGTCCCCTCACCAGCACTGGCGCGTGAATACTTGCACGTTTGGAAATACTCTCGCGTCCACTGCAACTTTGGTTGTATTCCAGTGGATCTAGTGGCATGTTATCTAACAGTAGAAAACTTTCAATCCTTTCGAGGGAGACTAGCAACTCAAATGCTAGCGGAATAGCGTTACCTAACCTTAGGGATAACGTAATTCGGAGAACGTTCATGAAAGCGAGTACCATAAAGGCTGTGGAAGGTGTGAGAACATGATTGGTGGAAACGAGGGCGAACACCGCTATGAATGTTGCCACGGTCCCTGCCACGAAGAGAAAACTTTCAATGATCGACAAGAGGGCGCTCTTTTTTAGAATAATCCCAATTTCACTCCTGTAAAGAAAAAGAGAAAGAACAGAAAGAAAGCTATGCATTGATATTTTAACCTAGCATAATACACGTTAGCGTAAAAAGGTTCTTTTGTGGCCTTATATGTTTGGTGTTTGGCTCATGATAATGTAGGCTATTTAGGTGTCTTAAGATGTGTCCTTATTTCATAGGAGGAAAGGGTCCTCGTTACTGGTCGAAGCACTAGACTGTGTGGAGTAGTTATAAAAACTATTTCATTTTTAGGCTCAACAGCTAGGTTCAGTCATGCAATGGGGTTTAAATGATGAATGGAACAACTCTGTAAACAAATGCAATTACTGCATGACAGTAAAACAGGTAACTGACAATTTCTACCTTGTTGTATGATAAGCCTATATCAACAAAGAAATATTCGAATTTGTCAATCCTGCTTTGAAAAATATCAGGTAAATGACCCTCCCCCCGTCCCCCACTTGCATATTTTCTCGAGAATTATTTCAATCACAAGGTATATAT